CATTCCATTCCATTCCATTCCATTCCATTCCATTCTTTGACATAGAGTTTGTCAATGACACATGTTTTTTCTAGAAATCTCTGAAGTTCTCTTATGTCAACTTCATTGCAAATCATTTCATCACTTATATTTTTAATTCATTTACTCTGCTGGAAGCTCTATATTTAGCCTTTCTTCCCCACTTCCAAAATAATATTTATTTTAATCAAAATTGCTCTGCCTTTTCTTTACAATGTCTTTTTCTTATCATTTTTTTTTTGCAACAATCATTCTCTTACAAGTATTTTTTCTCATCCACAGCCTCTTTCACTTCATCATTCCATTAGGCATCCTTTTTAAAAACTTCCTATTAGCATTACCCCACAGACGTCTGTGGCTTTCTCTGTAACATAATTATTTTCAGTCTGTTTCAAGCAGTTTCCATATCCTTTTCCTTTATGTCCATTTTCAATTCCAATTCAAATTAATTCTGTTGAGAAATTAATCTATCTTATAATATTGTTCATACAAACTCGTACTTTCCTTTCCTGCAATCATTTTATATTTTACCTTCATCTTCCTATCTTTCCTTTTCTTTCACAGCCATTTTTTCCCCTCAGGATTCACTTTTGACACTATCAAAGAGTGCCCTGTCCAACATTTAGTACCTCTTAGCACCCTCCTAGCTTTCAGTAATTCTCTCAGGCTTTCATTCTAAATAAGAAAATCAGTCATGTTTTAGATATATTAATTCTTTTGCCATGTATATGCATGAATAGACTACTGCTAGAAGCTGTTCAAAAGAAATGTATCTTTTCCAATGCAGATGCTCACTAAACAGTCTTCATTCTCATTCATTCTTGGTCACTGAATCACTTCTGTAATCTCTTATCTAGATGCCATCATCCATTCATTTCATTTGACAGAATATTTTTTTTCTTTCTGGATTGCATTCATTCAGAATGTTGCACAGTTTTTCCAAAAGCTTATCTTTGGCTCTTCTATGAAGTCCATTTACTGGAATCAGTGACATCTGCATAATTTAGCTGCACAGTTTAGCTTGTGCTGCAAGCTCTTCCCCTTTGGGCATGTGTGAAATATTGTGATGGATGTAGAAAAGGATCAGGTCATGTGCTGTAGTGCCACAATGCTTCTTTCATTAGTCTGACCCTCTCTCCTTGTTTCCCCTGTAGATGCCACTGCCTGGAGTGTAACATGCAGCTGCCATCAATATATGAATCCCTAATTTCATTCACATCTACAACACCTAGATGACACCAATTAATATCTTCTGACACTCAGTTTAGCCCTTTCATTTATAATTAAACCTATGTTTTTATTTCCCTGAATGTTTTGTTAACCCTGTTCCACAAGATCAGACCACCTTCATTCAGATCTACTATATTTTTTCCTTTCTCAGTTTCACAAATACAAACCCTATTGTCCTTTAATTTCATTCATTAATTCATGCTCATTACCATTCACTCTCTTACATTCTAAGTTTCAATCTTCATCATGCCATAATTGTCACCAAATAGGCTCATGATTATCGACCTCCACTGCACATCATAGTTTTGGTCAATTTAGGATTTCACATAATGCCTCTAGTATTATTCTTTATAGGTTATCAGTTTTAGTTGTTCCTGTGCCTTATGTAGCATACCCTTCTACAGCATTGGTTAGTATGTCATAAGTGTAACCAAAGTCTAGTTTTACTCCATGTGTACTCACTCACTTTTATGCAAGCCAAGATATAAAACCTAGGGGTACTTTGCAAGCCAACATACTATTGCCTGCATCCTACCAACTCAGGCATACATGCAGTTTACTTACACACACCCAGGATGAATATTTACTCAGAGGTGTATCCTACAGAGTTGAATGATATTTGCTATCTAGTTTGTGTGCCTGGGATTGTAATTTAACCTAGTGGGATCTCTATGCAGCTGCTCAGATTATATGACTTGTAAAGAAGTGTCTTAGATTCTGCTGCTCAGTAAGGGGGGAGGGGACAGTCTTCAGTTTCAAAGGAGGAAGGCAATATTCTAGTGTATTAAAACTGCTATGGATTTGTGTGTGTGTGTGTGTGTGTGTGTGTTGGTCTGCTGTATAGGAAACAGGAAATGCTGATAAAATGAGAATCCAATAGGTAATCTTGGTAATATGGAGTAGTAGACTGCTTGGTCAAAAAGCATTTGAATAAAAGCCATTTAGAGGAGAATCATGCCACCAAATGAGCCACTTAGCATTTTCAAGTGACATTTGAAACTAAATAAGTCTGTTCTATGCTCAAGATGTCTAACACACTGGGAATGACTGATGAAGAAGTATTAATGGAATTTGAAGCTTTGTTCCATCTTAATAAACCTGGCTCACTATCAATAATACAGCAGCAACCTATTTTAATGCTATAGGAGACCTTTTGGTGACATGGATTGATTAGGTTCTACATAGACTTGCTATCTTGGCACAGAGCTCAGGCTTTTAGCATAGTTATATTAAATCATTACTACCCATGAATGGCACCAACTAGAAAGCTTAATATTAAGCTATTTCTTACCAGGCTGCTGTTCCATACTTTTTCAGGCATGATTTGTTCTTGAGTGGCTTCATAAATCTGGTGTGTCAGTGCATGTTTCCAGTTGATAATTGGAAGGCTACTCTTCAATGCTTGAAAGGATGTGAGTGTTTTGAAAAGGATGCCAAATTTAAATTCCAGCAATTCAGCATTGGGATTTTAGAAGCCCCCTTCTGCTTACAGTAACCAACATAGCTATAAGGAATGTGTGGGTCACAAAGGCCTCTTGGGCTCATTTTAAATCCAGAAAACCAGTTCAACTCCCTATACCACATGTTTGGGAAAGAGAAAGGAGGGTGTTGGAAAGAAGATGGGTATCCCCACCCGCTAGTTTCATCAGTATTGCTCACCATATTGCCTATCATTTTACCCCTGTGGGTAAATGTGGCCTTTGATGAAAAAAAAAAATACCCACCTTTTCTGTAATAGATAGAAAATACAGACACGGAAAAAAAGATGAGCCACTAGCTGATTTCAGTACTCCTTTATTAGTTTTGGTTGGCTGCAATCCTATACTTATTTATTGGAGGTAAGCCCTAGTGACCTCAAGAGGACTTGTTTTTTAGTTCATATGCAAAGCATTTCCTCTATGATGTTTTTTTTCCCTAGAAGACAAGAGGAGTGCTGTTGTTTTTTTAAAATTCTAGTTTGACTAAAAACCAAGCAAAACTTCATGATAGAAGAACCTAGCCAGTCTCTCTGATGCATATATAACAAAGACCTGGTTACGTAGAGCATCACACTTTTGCTAGAGAGTATAGGGAAATCTTTGCTTATCTCAATCTTCATGCTGACAGAGGATTATGATGAAAATTCTTTAGTTTATGGTGAGAAGCTATATAAACCTTATATCCTCTTTCCCCAACACACACTGTCTGCATATATTGTTTTCTTTGTGGCAGATCTCAAGAAGTGGAAGAATAATATCAGACAAGGAATACCGGCTAAATGCCATGAAGAAGGATCATCAGAATTATATACGGGAATGCTTGGCTCAAGCCATATTCCACAAAGTCCTTGATATGGAAGTATGGTTGTATTATGGCTACTCTCCTCAAAACTCATATTCATAGTCATATTTGGGATTTCTGAGAATATCTACATGTGGAAATGTCATTAAATATGTTTAGGTTGGTGGAAGATCTAGACCACTGACTAGTAACCCATCAGTATATTGTAATTACCCATTTTTCACATATTTGAAAGTTATTGTCGGTTAGTAATGATGAATAGAATATTGATGCCAAATTGCAAGAAAATTCTAAAACACATTAGAGCAGAAGAATTGTCCTAATTGTAAGTGATGAAACTGGCAAGGCAGGAACCAGCAGTTCCCAGGCTAGAGAGAACCATTATGAAAATATATCCCAGCTGCCAAGGCTATCAAGAGACTAGCCAAGAGTCCATTAGCTTAGAAAGGTGGTGGTGGTGGTGGTGGTGGTGGTGGTGGTGGTGGGGAAGCTGAGAGTTTAAACATTGCAACATAGATATATAAAGCTTTGAATTCCTTGCTCTGCTATGGACAATCAACTGTTGTGTTAGAGGCTTTATGCTTATCTGCAGTAAAGTTTCTAATCCAGCTGAGTTACGTCAGAGAGTCTTCCGCCAAGATAAGTCAACTCCTGAGTAAGGGGTTGAGCATCTGAAAAGTTGTGATTAATTGGTGTGAAGCCTGACATTAATTTTAAGAACATTTTTAAGGCTTAATTTTTATTTCAAAAGTAATCTGTATTGATTCTCTAACCTAAGGAGGGTCTGTGGTTCTAACTTGTGTTAGTAATTATGATGATAGAGTCAGTAATTTCATTTATTCTAGATTTGTTAATGTAGAATAAATTCTAAGAGAATGCCCTAAGTGAGAGATAAATTAGTTGCCAAAAGATAATCCATAGTTTTAGAAATAAATAATAATAACAACAACGATATCTTTTCCAGTAATTTCATATTGACAGGAAAGAAAGTTAAGGGAAGAAACAAAGAGAATGACTTGTAATTGGCCAGAACTAATAAACTGGCAAGATCTCAGAATGTAAGGATCCCTTGGTCACTAGATTCCACACAGTCATCTCCTGTGGGAAAGGCAGCAGGAGGTCATGTCCCATCTGTGTACTCAAGAACTGGTCACAGCCCATCAGAGAAATGCTTATTTCTACCCATGTGAACACCAAAGGTCATGGAAAACTGGCAAGAACAAACAGAAGCATAGATACAAAGAGTGAGCAAGGACAGGGAGGAGCAGATGCTATTTCATTCACACAAAAGGTGGAAACATGGCTGGAGGTAGGCCTCATCTAGCTTGGTTCCATCTATCAATTGTTTCTACCTTCTGATTTCCTTTGTGATGTTGCTGTTTCCCATGGTTTCACCTATAACTCAGATATATGGTTCAGGAGCAGACTCCTAAGAACTTTGGATCTCTGAGCCTTGCTAAGAGGTCAGCATTCATTTTATACAGGTTCTTGGCAAAGTTGAGAAATCCATGTGCTACTTCTCTGAAGAACAGAAAGCAGCAGTTGAGACCAACTGTCTTAGAATCTTAGAATTCTAAGGAGGTACCACCTAAGTCAGATGTGCACACACATACACACTTGCACAAACATGGAGATTATTTAGCAGTGTACTATCACTTTTCTTCCCCCTGGCTGGTCAAACAGCTGGTAACATCAGGAACACCTTGTACAGCCAGAAACTTTGAAGAAGTCTTATGGATCATCTAAGCCAGTAGTTCTTAACAGTTTGCCAATGGAATTCCCAAAGAGAATTTTGTTGTGGACTTCCATTACCCTTCCTCCTATACATAAAGAGTCTGGAGTCTGCATTGGAAGACAAATGATGGCAAAGGAAACTTTTTACTTGGTTTGGAGTATAAGGGAAATGTTATGTCCCCTTCCCCCCATTTCCTTTCCTGAGATAAACAGCAAAATTGAATAGATAAGGATAGTGGGGTAAGGTTGGGGGTAAAAAGAAAGAACTAAATTGGGTGTGGGAAAAAGAAATGTTGGGGCATGGGCCCTTGGAATGGAAATAGGAGATCTCAGGTGGCTTTTAATGATGATGCTTGTTTCTGCTTGTTTCTGCATTTTCTGCTGGAATGAAAAATAGTGGCTCATCTCAGTCGGGGTCCTTCAGATATAGTCGATTACATTTCCATTACCCCCAACCAGTATGGAGGTTTAATCCCTAACATCTGGAGGGCACCATGTTGAGGAAATTTGTTACAAAAACTGTAATATATATTTTGAGTGTAAATTAAACTTGTTCCAATATGAGAAGTGGTAGCAGAAGAGTATGGCTACCCCATAAAGATTTTGATCATCTCACACATCAGAGAATTTTACTTACTTATGAATGATATTGGGGCATATACAATATCTATTTGTTGTTTTTCCATGGCAATCATTTATTTGTTTATTTAAAAAATCCTTAACAAATGGCCCTCTGGTGACATTTTCCTTTTTGTGATCGCTGTTGAAAAAAACCGATGTAGCTATACTGCATCGGGGTACCAGCACTCTCTCTCCCTCATTTGTTCAAAAACATATACATACACACCTATATTTGGGCCCATCCATCCATCATACACAATATATGACAACACATATCTATTTATTCTTACAAACAGACCCTTCTTCTTCCATGAGGCAGTTAAGTACAAATAGAAGGCTTTTATGAGGTTTTCTTCTTGTGCCAGGGGAATGTCATGTGATTACAGTGCATAAGCTAAGGAGAATTCATAAATGGAAGATCTTTTGAAACCTAATTATCTGGAGGTTGAGTCATGGCAACTGGACTTCTTTTCTTTTTCTTTTTGATAGAGATGTTTCGCTACTTGTCCAAGCAGTTTCTTCAGTCTGAAGAAGCTGCTTGGACAAGTAGCGAAACATCTCTACCAAAAAGAAAAAGAAGAGTCCAGTTGCCATGACTCAACCTCCAGACAATTCCACCTGGATGACTGAGAATCTTCATAAACAAACCTAATTACTTTGCAGGTAGAAAGCAAGGAGGAGAAATTCCATGTTTAGGGAATTCCACATACCAATATGTCCACATTTCTAGCTTGTGATTTCACATTCAGGATTTAGATTTGATGTACTAATTAAGGGTGTGTCTTGACAACATAGTAAGCTGTACAAATATGGTTGAACAGGTCTATTTAAGCTCACTAGCTTTTTCTCCTGAACAGTACAGCTTTTTTGGGTCTTATTGTATATTCTGTAGGTGCTCCTGGGAGCATGTAAAAGGAGAGCACCCATGTTTTATTTTCAGCTTGTTCTTCAAAATACCATGCAGAGAACACAGCAAGTCCTAAATTAGCTACAAATGGGGAAAGGAGCCAGCAGGTACAAGTGTCCTGTCCTAGGTAGAACAGAGTCCTGGGACAAAATCTAGGTCTAATACTTAGATCTCTTGATAGGCAAGAGACCAAGCAAGGTCTTATTCAGGATTAAGACAAAATGTTTCACATACATAATAAAGTTAGATGTTGGTAATAAGCACTGTGTTAGAATTTTGCCTACTGCAGAAATCTAGATGACTCCCTAGATGGCATCAAAATGTTAAGCGGTTTTGTGTCTTTGCTGCCATCTAGGGGTTGTGTGGATTTTTGCTATCTAGATATAGTGGCTCTAGCTTCAGGGACTGAATCCAGGGTTGCATGGTGAAGGATGGTCGATGGTAATTCTGTCAAGGCATCAGAGCTAGGCACTACATCTTCAGGATTGATCTCACCAGGTTCTTTATCCTTGTCATGCGCCTGCTTCTCCTCTGAAGAGACTATTCTGAGGGGCCTTGACAGTGAGCAAGTGCATATTACAATAAGCTACCCTTAGCAGTTCATCTGAATGCAGCTAAGTTTCCTTTTTCATACTTCTATTTTATATGCAAGCATTATGTGCTGAAGGTAGGAGATACTGACATTTTTGTTAAAGGGCTCAGTCCTAGGAACAGTTGGACATATATTAAAATAATGGCTTTCAAATTGCTGGGTTCTTTTTTCAAAGATTTTTGAGGATCTCAGTTTTAGGTTATAACATTCATAGAAGTGTTACTAGATCCAAATCCCTGAAGGATTTACACATACAAGCTTATTGCCTATTACCTAAAAAACTTGCGAAAATGGTTGTCTCTCAGGATTAAGTTAGACATGACACTCCACACCTAGCACCTGCTGTCTACATATAAAAGACATTTTCACAAGAGCTCATTAGGTATAGAGTGTCTTGTTATTCTTCCTTGCAAAGGAAACCAGGCATGCTCCATTTTTAATAGCAACTTTAAGAAACATCGGAAAAATGCTTGTACTTGTCCAGATAAATTTTCAATACTTAAGCAGTCCTCTCCACTTACTGTGGTATACGTGATAGATTTGTTCACCGCATTCATCTCAGAAAATTACTTCATTATTGAGTGGTGAACTGCGGTGCTTAATTATCCAACATGTGATCACTGTGCATTACAGTGGTGAAATGTTTGGACTGCTTGGAAATTGCCACCTCTTTTTTCTTCCATTCTTCTGTAAGCCCCCCTAATTACTGTGATGCATTGCAGAAAATGGGACATGTTACAGAAACAGGCACCACATTTTGCCCCTGTGTGTGCACTTAAAATTACATTTGGATGTTATAAAATTCCATGGACAGCTAAAGCATTATATAATTTTCCCATCCCATCCCTTCTGTGTTCTCACATTACTGCTTGTGTTCTTAAAAGGGATATAAATCATCATTATCAACTAGGCTGGGAGTGTTGCTTGCTGGGAGATACGATTTGAAAAAACAGAAATAAGAAATAGAAAGGGAATAGGTTGCCTGGATATGGGAGGATTTTAAAGGCTATATAGCACTTGTGCACATTTTAGTAATAGCTATTTGAATAAAAGTCATGTGCTTTAATCGCGTGACATCCACTTACTTGCCTTTGACACGAGCCTTGCTACACAATCAATTTGTCTAGCCATTGGGGTGGGGGACTTTGTTTTGCTATCTATCAAAAAACAACACAAAACAACCCCCCCCACACACACACACGCAAACCATACATCGTCCTCTTCAGTCCCCCAAAAGGCTGCCAGAGCAAGGTATAAAAACCAGAAAGAGTCTCAGTCCTACTGTCCAAAAGAGATTATGACAAGGGAAGAAAAAGCATCACAAAGATTGGGAAGAAAGAGGAAAAGATGTAACAACTCAGAGTAGTGATGAGAAATAGCCCAATTCTCATCGCTTCCAGTAATGATATAATGGTACAGTAGATATGAAATGTGATTTTGTCTTTATTTTTTATTTCTAAAATATACCTATTAGCGACATCATCAGGTTGAGATAAAAAGAAAACTTGAGAGTTCTGCAAGGCGAGAGCGTACCCAGCGAATCAAGGTACTGATTTCTCTCTGTGTGAGTAGAACTCTGGACTTGTTCCAGGACTAGAACTGATTGCCATTGATAAGTCTTCTCTTAAGAGATACATGTTTGTTTGCAGCTCTGGGTTGCAACAGTCTCAATGGTCGCTAGATAGCGCCAAAGAGTTAGAGTTTTCTGAATTCCTTGGCTGCCCTCTAATGGTTGTCCTGGTTTTTTGCAGCCCAAATTCAGTGGCCCTATGCTTGGGCTGATTTTGCAAGCTGTTCCTTTTACCTATATATAGCAATTAGACTGCTAGTTCTTTGTCTTTTATTCTGTTCATGATGGGCATTTGGCTATATTGTTGTACTCTGCCCAGGGTTGCTTCGGTGAGGGGGGTGGCTATATAAATTTGCTAAACAAACAAACAAACAAACAAACAAACAAATTAATTCTGCTACTGTTTCCTAATCATTTTCTCACGGTGAGGCATAAATACATTTATATAAATATAAAAGCCAATTTGAGAGCCAGTTTGGTGTAGTGGTTGAAGACACCAGGCTAAAAACTAGGAGACCATGAGTTTTAGGCCTGCCTTTGGCATGAAGCCAGCTGCGTGACTTTGGGCTGGTCACACTTTCTCAGCCCCAGGAAGAAAGCAATGGCAAATTGCTTCCAAAAATATGTCCAAGAAAACTGCACAGACTTGTACAAGCAGTCACCAGGAGTTAAGACTGACTGGAAGGCAGCAAAAAAAGAAAAGTCAATTTATTAATATCTGAAGGTTCAGGTACTGGTCATGATTCTCTCCAGGGATCTGCAAATATTGGCTGAATTGCTGGGCAGAGATCTTATTTACAAAGAGCTTTGCCTAGAGAGCATTGTTTCCTAACAATATTGTTTACTCAGGCATCTCAAGCCATGTTCAGGCATTACCTTTCCATGCTCAAACTAATGCTGGCTGAGCAGCAAACACTCTCCCCTCCCTTAGACATATGCTTACAGTACAGTTCTCTGCAACAGCCACACTAGCTCTACTGAGAATTGCTTCTGCATGAATCTACATGAGCCTGACTGTGGCTCACATGGAATTTTTCATATCTAGAACTAGGTCCCTGCTAGAGACCATCAGGCTGTAAGAATGGAGACTATCTGTGCACATATGTCACCAGCATGAGATGGAGAAGGAGGTTGCTCACTGTTACTTGTTAGGTAACTTGTACACTTGTGTGTAATGTCTGAACAGGTCTATCGTTTCTCCTTCATTTAGGTGGAACGATCGAGAAAGGCAGTAGATGGTACACATCACCTGCTTCCCCCACATCCACCCAGTGTACCAAGAAATCGCTTTGGACGCCGCAGGTTGGGTGACAGAGAACAATCAAGTCAGTTGGTGAGTCTGTAGTGAGGCCCTGCAGGATGAAAGATAGTCCTGTTTCAGTTCTGTTTATAAAGCTTCCCAGAGCTGCAGCCATGGTCTAACTGGAATCAAAGCAATACCTTTCAAATTTGTAGCGCTAGAAAACTATCTTGAAAATTTTATTCCCTTTTGCTTCAAAGGATCTCAGGGTGCTGTACGTGGATTTGGGCATATGACCTTTTGCACATCTCCACCAAATTTGTAGATGGAGAAATTGGATGGAAATTTTTCAGAATTTCATCAAAGGAGGAGTCCCTTTTACTGGTAACAGCAGGACCACTACTGAAAAATTCAGTTGAAAAGATTTTGCTTATAATATCTTGTGTTGGGATTTTAGTGAAATGTGGGAAGCCAGGAAGGCTGCAAATCCACTGAAGAAATGTTTGAATACTGAAAATAAGATATTCACAAATAGACCTTGGCTAACTGGAAACTAACAAGCCCGACACCCATTTTACCTAAGAGAATTCCTTTGAATTTCTCTTCCAGTTTGAAATGATTTCTAAAGCAAATTCTCTTTCATCAGACTGAATTGGTCAAAACAAAACAAAACAAAACAAACCCTGGAGATTTCTTTGCTCAGCACGAGCCATATATAGTTATTTTATTCTCATAACAACTTTGCAAGATATGGCTTGTTAAAAGACTGAGGTGCCTATAGTCATTTTATGAGTTTTGATGCTTGAGGAAACTTGGAGATTTGGCTCCCCAAGGCCAGTACTATAAGTTTTATTTATTTTATTTATTTATTAAATTTATTAAGGCCACCCAACTCCAAAATGGCAGTGGGTGGCTTAAAATATACATGAGTTAAAAAACACACAATTAAATTAGCCTTGACCCAAACAGCAGTCCCAACATTTAGAAAAAACTCTTTATATCACACCAGCTCTCTTACAATTCATGTAACTTATTCATGTTTCCAATTAAGTGTGTGCCCAATTGATCCTTTAGGGTATAAAGAAATTGTACTCTCTATTGTGGAATGACAATACAAAAAAACCCCTGCTTTATTTCATGAGAACTCTCTTATACTATTATCTTCTATATAATTTGACCACTTTAAATATATCTGTATTAAAATATAGCTATTTTTGAATATATATTTGAATGAAATAAATATTGGCTTGACCCCGTGAATAGTTTTGCATTTTTTCTGCAATTTAGTTTAAGGAATATAAATTGATATGGATGCAAAACCTTCATCTATCCATTTTGAAACAAAAAAGTCAAACTGTAGACATATTGCAATTTCATTTTCAGAAATGTGCACAGACTACATATTCTTAAGTCAGGGATAGGCAGCGTGGTATCCTTTCAGTGTTTTTGATTACAAATCCAGTAGTCTTAGATATTTAGAGCTGTAACTAAAAACTTACAGAGTACCAGTTTACCCAACCCATGTTAAGCATTTACCTCCATTTCTTTTAATGGTTCAGATTACTTATCCTCGACCAAGCACTGCTCCAGGAAACATACAACAGCCGGTCCGACTTCAGCCCCTGTACGGAAATGTCATGACAGAAGGTTCACCAAAGCCTGTTTTGAGCTCCAGACCAAAGTTTCTCACCCTTGAAAAAGATCAGTTTGCCAGTGAGGTTAGCTTTTACTTTTTTATACATGTACTACAATAGGAAGAATGAGAATATAAAGTCATTTTGTACAATCAAACACAAGGGGTTATCTACAGTAGTACATTTTTTTAAATAGCAGAATGCGAAGTAATGCAGAATGAATTCTGCTGATGGCAAGGAAGGGCACTTACTTGTTACAATTAGTTGCAAATGGGTGTGGGGGTCATCTCCCCGATAAGAAGAGAAGCAGCTGCTGAAAGTAGAGGAAGGGAGAAGAGATGCAAAGGATTTCACTGCTGAAGATCATGGATGCTTCTGAAGATTAGATGTTACTTGGAAAATACTGCCTCCTGAATGCTCACCTGTAATGGGCAGACATGACTTCTTTCTCTTTCCTTCCTTTCATTCTTCAGGTACTTCTTCTTTTCTTATTGTCATCCAATGTGGCTCCCCTTCTCAGTGCAGTTCCCCTTACTCCAAATCTATGCTGTTTTTTTCCTTCTTTACTTGCTGTTTCTGCTGGAAGAGGAATGTGTTGTTATTTTTATGCTTCTGTGGAATGGTTGGTATACACAGATGGGGAATCAGTTAATTTTATAAATGATATATTTTATTTATGGGTAGCTAATTTTCAGTTTTTTCTTATCCTGGTTCTGCCCTTTATGGAGTTTAGCTTCTGGCATGTATATATAGACAAATACAATGGAGAGGGGGAAAGAGGGAACAACACCTCTTTGAAGTTCTGCACAGCCCTAATTCCCAGGACTACTGTTCTGCTGAATTAAGTTGGAGTCAGCTTATAGCTTCTGAACGCTTATGAGATCAAAATACTTCATAAATACAAACAACCTTATTTCAGAAGCTGAAGTTCTGTGCAGATAAATTTGAGGTGCAGGAATCAGAGCTGAGAAGTATCTTGTCTTTCCAAAAGTCAGTCAGGGAATCAGAAGCAGCATACTTCCAGGAAGTCAAGTCTGAAGTTAGAAAGTGGTTTGCCAGAAGAAATTTGATTCCCAAGTTATACACTGATTCAGGCATGCTATGGTTTACTGAGCAGAAAAAGAGCTATGGGTCTTTTTCTGCTCAGGCTCTAGGTCAGGTGACTTGGCCTTCTGCTGTGCTCCTGCAACAGGTGGCAGCTTACCTGACTGCAGGCTCCTCCTCCAACAGGAGGAGCAGATACCTGAGACCCCTCTGGCTCCTGAGTTGTAAGTTCAGAACATGTCAAGCCTTGCTCCTCCAGTTCGGAATCTGACTCACAGGCCTATAAAGATTGATTGATCTTGTTGCACTTATGAGCTGCCTTGTTAATACTTGTCAAGAACCTTAATTCTTTTCTACAAAATGGGGTCCAGGAATGAAAAATCCCTTTTAACTAGGAATCCATGCTGAAAACAAGGAAATTTAGATGTTTTTAAAAAGAAGAAATATGCTATTCATGCATGGAACCAATAAATGGAAAATTCTAACTAAACAACTTTCAATTGCTCTGTGAGTCTAAGTATTAATGAATATTAATATTGTTAATTTTTCCAGGGGGACAAAAGGTTGTTAAGGCCTGTGCATTCAATGGATTATTCAGCTGAAGTATCCCCATATAGACTTCCCATTATTAACAATTATATGATACCTGTTCCACAACCGCCCAGAAGTGACAAAAACATCAGCACCATGAAATCCGGGGCAAGAGGTCGACGGTTTCGCCCTACAACTTCATCACAAGGCCTGGATCAATTGGTAATGAAGGTGATTATTCTTTTTCTTCCCACTATTCTACTTTTTTCTTATATAAGTAATTTCGTTAATTTCTTCTACTAAGCATATGAAGATGTGCTGAAATATTCCTTGCTTTTTTTTTTTTGCTAAAGAAATACCTCTTCCCATCTTTTTTAAACACCCACACAGATACATCTTTCAAAATAAAGGAAGTTTGCTTAAGTGCATTCTCCTTTCCTGTAAAACCTTGGTTTTGTTCCTAATATCATTCCTTTGAATAAATAAATGTAACATTCTAAATCATTCTTCTGAATCTAATTTTATTGTTATTTCGTCCAAGCTTTCCTCAAAGTATTTTTCAGAATATAGAGTGCCTTTTCCCAACCTACAGCAGTGCCAAAATGCTAGCTGTGAATTCTAGGAATTGCCATCTGAATGTTTCTGCTCTATTTTGGGGAAGGCTCCAGTGTGAGGAACATGGATACAGATTGATACAACTAATAATTTGGAAAAGAAAGATGACCCTTTTTGCAGAGGGTTGAATATTCCTACTAGCTAGAGAAGTTGTATTTAAATATACAAATTTTAGTCTTTTAGACAAAATATTATATATGATGTCTATTATACTAATAAACTGAAAGCTATACAGGTTGAAGATATACTGTTTATCTGTAGCCAAAGAGATCTAAGTGTAACATTCTTGAACAAAGTTTAAAGTTAAGGGCAATCAAACTGATGAATCTGCAAGCGCTGGAATATCACTCATAAACCCAACAATTTCCACTCTGTTGCCATGTCTTTTCCCCCAAGTATGTAATGACCTATGTCAGGAAGCATATCTGTTCCTTGGTCTCAATGAACAGATTTTATGCTATGTGAATCCAAAACTGAGGACGATGACTTTAAATAAAATACAAGCAGGCAACTAACTGAAATCCCGTGAATTTCAGTTAAGTATGTAAAAAGAGGCTCTCTGTAAGATAGACAATTTCAGTCTATTTGTTTCCAATGACTGGCAACTTACAGCTGTGTGATTTAAGTATCTTAGATCCACATCTCTTTGCTGAAGTGGATAGCACACAAAGTATTTTGAAGAAATACTTTGTCAAAGTGATGTTTTTGAAGATTTGCACAATCCTGCTGCTGTGATTGGGGATCAAACCTGGATGGGGAGAGAGAGATGTATGAAATACCTAAAGAAGCCCAAGGGCAGGACACATACCTGAAGCCCTGCTCTTATTGTTCTCCAACTAACGTCTCAGAAGCTAGTGGTAAATATAATGATAATCCACTGATAGCCTTCGGTTGCAATCTTATAATTTCTAAGCCTGGAGGACATTATATATTTTAAATTCATGATCCAGAGCTCATCAAAGATCTCAGTGGAGAGATCTGAGTCAGATCTCTCCTCCCAGCCTCAGAGAAGCCTTCATAAACCTTGACTCCTTGGCACTGGAATTTCAGTATGGAGAAAATAAAAGGGAAACTCGTGAGGCATTTCCTGGATATACTGAGAGAGTGATAATTTGTATACTTCCTGATGTTTAATAGGGTTTTTGATTCCTGAGCAACTCTGAAGTTGAAACTCTTGGCAATGAACAGTAATGCTGCTTTATTAGACTGTAGTCTAATGATTGCTGGGAAACTGTCTCAGAGAACATAGGAATTGTCAAATCTTCTGTTCCAAGGTGGAGAGAGGTCTGATTTTGGATCCTTTTCATAGCCACCAAGATATTTCCATGCCAGTTCTTTTTCAAAGTTGGAAATCCATTGTTAAAAAAGGGAAGAAGGGTGTGCTGGGTTATGCCCTTTGGGCCTGTAGACCTTACAGATTACTGATCTGGGCTCTGGAGCTGGCCCAAATGTTCCTTTCCATTGGTTTCAGTTAGATAAAATACACAAAATGAAAACAGATGGCTCCAGTGAAGTAAATATAGCTGAAATGCCATGCTTCTCTTCTTTCATTTTTTTCAGGCTTTTCCAGCAGGATTTTAGATTTATCTGAGGCTCCAATATGGGAGCTATTCACAATGTGATACAGAATTACTATATTATCTTCAATGAATGTGTCTAATCCTATTTTAAAACTATTAATATGGGTACCATCATCATATCTTCTAGCTTCAAATGCAGTTGTTTATGTTTGGTATGAATAATGACTTTGGTTCTGCTGTCCTGAACATCCATCCTTCAGAATCATAGGATGACTCCTAATTTCAGTATTCTCTACATCCGCATAGCATACCTAATTTTATAAACTCCAATTACATTTCCTCTTTCTCAGCTTTCTTCTCACTAAAAAGTTCCAGTTGTTCCAGTATTTTTTTTGATAGATACAATTTTCTGTACCTTTTCTAGTTTTACAATATTCTTTTGCAGTTGCAGTAACCAGTACTGTATTTAAAGAGTGGTCTCACAATAGTTTTAAGAAAAGCATTATGATATTAAAGGCATTATGAAATTAAAGGTTTTATTTATGATTCTGTTCTTATTGATCCATACCTTAGAATTAACCTTTTTCTCGTTTTGTGCTATATTAACATATAGGGGAGAGCCATGACTTGTGTTAGGTTAACCCTAACCCTAACCCTAGGTTCAATCACTGGCATCTCCAGATAGCTTCAGACCCTTGTCTGAATTCCTGAAGAACCCATGCCAATCATTCAGTAATGCTAGACCAGGTTGTCAGAGGCAGTCAGAGGCAGCTTCATTTATCCTGAAGACAGCAAACCCTTACACAGCCAAATTAAGCTCAGATTTTAGTTCAGCATGTTTTTCTTGGAGGGCCTTTTTTGTGGTACATGCAATAAATATTTGGGATGGTAGAAATTCCTTTGAATTTTAGCACTTGTTCAGTGGGTGACTGCTGAATGATTTTGAAATAGGATGGGATAACATAGGAGAAAATGTGTAAAAGTTCAAGTATTTCACTAGAGTCTTGTCCCTTTTTATGTAGGACACTGGAAAATTCTACAAGCCTCAAATACAAAGCAATGCATATGTTACCATGGTCTACTTGGGAAAAACCGTGCACCTTTCGTACGACCTTTTAGATTATCGAGAGGAAATAAAAATTTATCAACAACACTGTGGAGGAGAAAATCTATGTGTGTATAGAGGCAAACTGCTGGAGGGAGGTGAGCCTGAAAAAAGCCCAAGAATTCATCTGAATTCTGGCAACCTCTTATTTTTATATGGATAAACTGTTGAAGTGGTAGCAAAATTATTTCTGCAAAGCTCAGTTTGCTTATGTGTGTCCAGGGACTTATATTCCAGCTGCCTCAAACCAAGTCTAGATTTACTGTTTCATGATTGAAAATGAGGCTGCAATTACTTTTGCAAATTATGGAAGGAGGGATGTACAGGGGTGATTTAACAAAATGCAGTGGGTTAGATTAATTTTTGGATGGAGATGCATGGTTAATAAAATGCTTGCAGGGGTAAAATGAATACCAAATTATCTACGTACAAGAAGCTATAATATATCAGTGTGAACTGTTTATCGCTCCAGAAGGGAAATGAATGCAGACTTGAGGTTTGATTCTGAATGTGAATCAATGGTGATGATGTTGACTTAAGCAAAGCTGTTCCAGGTATAATTGCCAGCAGAAATGAGGGAAGAATAGCATGCTGGGTAGAATTAATCTCATGCCATGGTCCTGGGCTATGGCTGAGGAATGATAGCTTTTCCATCATTAGTTATCATTTATTTAATTTGTCATAGTGCTAGGCACTATGTAGAATGTAGAAATAATGTAGTCTATGCCCAAAGGACTTAAATCTGTATTAGACTGACTGGTCAACACAGGGGAAGAGGTCAAGGAGTAATGGAGTAAGTAATCAGTTGCTAATAAAGAAACTGTTAAAGTGAAGCTGGAGTGGTATTTGAGAAAGCCATGGATTTAAAAAAAAAGGGGGGGGGAGTTTACAGAAAAAAATGAAGGAGGACAGGAAAACAACTTCCCTAACAAGAGTGGAAAGGTTGATCCATAAATATGCATTTGAATGGCAGAAAGTACTGAAGTAGCTACTGAACGAAGCCAGACACGTTTCTGGAGAAGAGAAAAAGAAGCATAGCAGACTTGCAGTAAATGATACTCAAAAGTAAGAGACTTTTTTAAAAAAGGCATTACTAATAAAATTTGACATGGAGAGCGCAGAGGTTTAAGACTGCAGTGGCCCAAGGCAGCAGTTGGAAAGTAGACCAACTACTTGAAGATATCTTCATGCAATTAGCAATTGCGTGATTTTTTTTTTTAAAAAATGGGAAATTTGAGGGCTTTGATCCTAAGTGGGATGTAAACTAAATTACTTCTTATTGTAATCCTAGTGAATATTTGTGCTCCTACACACAAACACACAAACACATAAACCTCTGCTATTTGCAATGGGGGAAAAAACCCTCCTGTGGCATAAAGTCTTTAGTGTAACTAGCTGGTATATTGTTGTGATTGTTCCATGTTGAGGTAAAGCCCTCTCCTCTGCTACACTGGGATCCAGGTTTTGGGGACAGTAGCACCATGCCTTGTTTGACTCTAAGTAAAGCACAGATTAGAATAGTCTAGGGATGGGATCTGACTAGAAGAACAATAAAGGTCTAAGTAAGCATATGGAGGATTGGGTGGGGGTGGATCTTGAGAATGCAGAAAAAAAGTTGCATCTTAATGTCTGCTTGGAAGTGAGTTTTATTGTTGTTATTATTACTATTCATCAGATTAGAGGGAGTGGTATTATTTCAAAAGCTTCTGACAATAGGGAAATAATAGTATCAAGCAGGGCACTTTTGATAAAAGACAAGGAAAACCCAAAGAAAGCTATTGTTTTTATTTATTTACTTCATTTTAACAGCAAAATAAGGCATGTTGCTGTTTAGACCTGTAGCAAGGAAATGATATGTGAACGTGTGAATGGTGAAGCTAACACTAGCTGATTGTTTTTATAGCTTGGTTTGTATTTACGAATTTATTTCCCTTTGTTAAATTCTGTTCCCACAACTTTCAGCACATCATGCTCCTAGGGTGGCTTCCACAAAAATAAAACCACTACCATCAAGAAGTCAATATCATAACAAAATGAATGGCAGATAAAATGTAACAAATAGAATCTGGAAAGCAAATGACATTTTTTCCCAACAGTGACTTGAAAGGTTACAAAGCATAATATACCCAGAGAATAAACAAGGTTCTGTCTGACATCAGAATTACAGCAACATAAGTCCTGTTGAATCCTCCTGAAAAGTGGATGCTACCATAACCTTGACTTCAAGAACTGTGGATACCTAAACAAAAGTCTCAGATTAGCCTTGATGAATGGGCCAAATGATATGGGGGAAGACAGTCCAGGGATTATTTGGGTCCCTATGATGCTATAGAACAGTATTTCTCAAACTTGGCAAATTTAAGGTAGGTGGCCTCCAACTCCCAGAATTCTGGCTGGGGAATTCTGGGAGTTGAAGGCCACCCACCTTAAAGTTGCCAAGTTTGAGAAGCACTGCCATAGAGGCTTAATTCACAGTCTGTTTACAAATGTCTTATAGGAAACATTTGCCGTACATTGGTGATTTCCAGCCCGGAGCCAAAACGGTGCCAATCTCAAGTCCATTGATGGATTTTCCTGTTTGAATCTGGATTGTCTTCCAAATTGTACCCAGCCTGTTGCTTTACAGTTTAAGATTTCAAAAAGTTGAAAGTTGGCAGACCATGCAGCAGAATGTGATTGGATGGCTGCCCCCTGATCCTTTCCACCTCCTTATTGCCTCACCTATTTTTTTGGCTTCAACTGCAAATTTAGATTAAGCCATAAAAATACTATCCCCCCCCCCCCCCAAAAAAAAACTTGTGAAGGAACACCTGGAGTTAAATTACATATCCTGTGAGGCAGTAATTGCTCACACACAGCAGGGACATCTCTCACCAAAGAGATGAGAAAAGTTCCTTCTGTGGAGGAACTCGTTGTTTGCTCTTTAGTCTTCTGTTACAGAATACTTTGATCAATGTGGCAGGGGATTTGATCTGTTATTTGGCATATAGTAGAGCAGGAGTGGAGATCCTATTGCCTGTTAGATGTTGCTGAACTCCAACTCCCAATAACCTTTATTCAGTGTGTTGACTAAGGCTATTGCAAACAGTGTTTCAGCAACATCTTGAAGGCCTGATGAAGAGCCAAGTGTGTCACAATGGGGTGGGAAGGGATGGGTTTCCCAAACTATATTATTTGGTTTCATATGAAATATTTCTGCATCTTGAAAGCTCACCAAAGAGAATTGGAGCCTGGATTTCTCCCAGCAGTATACCTCTCTATGCATATCTGATCCCTTTGATTTGGGACAGCTTTGAAACACGCCACTTATAGCTTGAAGCAGTACAGTCTTGGGAGAAGGGTTAATATGCTCGTCTACAGTTCCTTGTCTATCTTAAATGTGGTCAAAAAGTCCCCAATGTTTTTCTTCTTCTTCTTCTTTTTCTCAACTACAGAAACATTTCAGTTTATCTCCAGGAGGCATTATGGCTTTCCCTTCAGTCTCACATTTTACCTCAATGGAATTCAGGTTGACCGATTAAGTTCTTGCTGTGAATATAAGCATCGGAAAGGTACTCGGCTAGGAGGCAAGCATGGATACTTTGGTTTCGTTGATGTGGAAAGATCATCTCCTTGCTATAGGTATGCTTTGATATTTATCAAGCTGTTCTGAGGCATTAACGTTGCCTTGAGTTTGACACCAAATTTTTCTTTCAAGCGGTAGACCTGATCAGATGTCTATTTAAGGAGTGTTTGGATCACAGCTCTAGAGGAAAAATCATATAAGTCTTACAAAGCAGAGAGTTGCACTGCATCTTTAATATGAAAATAAATTATATTTTATGAATAAATCTCTGTATATATTATATTTCCATGAGTCTGAACCCACTTTATAAGTTTTATGTGGCATGGTACACCTATCTGTTTATGTTCAGAGAAATGATCTGATGAAGCAGGAGTGGCATTGTGCTCCTCATCTTGTCCTCAGAGCTGGGTCCATGTGTCAGGCCCATTTGGTTCCCAAGAAACCCCTACATGGGAGAAGCTTTTGACAAGGTCCAATGCATAGCACAATAGCATTGATACAACCTGGAATGTTGGTCATATGTAGCTACTCACATCTAGGGGTTCATTTGCAAGTAGCTACTCAGTGTGTCAGTGTAAAGAGGAGCCTAAATAACACATGGCAAAAGGCAAAAAGCAAAAGTCTCTCCTACCCAAGAAAGCGTATCCCACCAATGTTTAGGGCATCCACCATTCTTTCTTATTTTTACAGTAAATTGATCTCTGTAGGTCTAAATTACAAGGCTAGAATGAATAATTCTAGGAATACAAGAAGACTCAACCAAAAAAACTGATCCTGAGCTTTGGACTGAAATGGCTATATATGATCAATAATCCTGTTGATAACAACCATATAAAAATCAATACTAAGCAATTGTTGGAGCACTCCAATGAAAGAAAATTGCTATGAGTAATATTTATTCAAAGCCAGAGGAGAACCTCTGTATTTGTAACTTCTGTGGAATATTTGACCCTCCCTGCACCTATTTTGATTCCAAAATTGTTATTAGCAAACTTTTCTGTTAATTCTCCAATTGCACAATTCTGTTAGTTGATTCTAGTTGGAAAATTTTGGAAGACTTATCCAAGGCCCTAAATTTCTCAGTTCTCTTTTGCCTCAGCTTCAAGATACATTTTGCATTTTTGTATATAGTCAGAATTTGATTATTTTTTATTTAGTAAATAGGACATCTTCTGAGTCATTTATTTAGGCTACAAAATGGGATGGATTAAATCTTTTCCAACTATCTAATTTTTATATCCACTTTAGTCAGAAAGCTGCAGAGGAAGACTGAAACATACTTAAGCCTATTTGGGAGTTCACAGAATATTTGAAGGGAAGGTGGGGCACAGTAAGGCTGTTACCAGCAGATTGTCCTTACGGCCTCAGAGATTCAGGTTTTGATTGTAAAGTTAAAAGGAAAAACCTTTGCATGTTCAGCTGAACATAATCGGAATCATCTATGTGATTAGGGACCTAATTCAGGCAAGCCTTCCAGTAGTGTGAATAATTTTAGCTGCATTTATGAAGATTCCCATTCTGTACACTTTGTTCCATAAGCAAAGGTCTGAAGATGTTGACAATAAAGACTCTACGTGTTTGGTGGCAAGTAACCAATCAGAATGCCAGTTTGAAATAAGAGGCATTGAGGTATAGATTTCAGCTCAGTAAACTTAAAACATCTATCAGTATAATGTAATGTCTTAGTCTGGCTCAAAATAGTTTGTTTTCTTTGCTCATAATGCATGGCATCCTTTGCGTGATATGTTTTGAAATTCTATTTCCCCAGATCCCCCTGCAGTCTAGGCATTTGTAGGTTGGTTTTTTTGGGTATTTGTGGCTCAATTCCACATCACAGAGCAGTGAACATAATAGCTGTTGAATCCTTTTCAACTCTGGGCCCAAATTCCTTTCAGTAAGATACTTATTTACAATTTGTGGGCATTGCAATATTTAACCTATATTTTCAAAGTATGTTTAGGAAGTACAATACAAAGAAATGTAAGATAAAAATACAGAAAGTTGGTTCATCTATTCCATTGTTCTTTCAAAAGGTGGGCTCTTCTGGGCATTCCCTGTTTGAGAAAGATACTGATTTATGCTGATTGTGCAAATAAAAGAATATGGCATTTATTTTTAGTCTAGGCAAAGAACCTTTTTTATGTCTTTTGCCAGAAATCAAAACATCGACCACATCAATTTCTTCTGTAATATTTTCATTTCTTTGATGTGCAAAGCAGCAACAGGCCAAAAAAGTCATGCGCATTTTCCCACTGAGAAAAAATATTGTACAAACAGCAATGAAAAAAAATGGGGAAAGGAAAGAAATAGAAACCCCCAGAGAGCCAAATGATTTTTCTGATAAGCATACTGCACCATCCAGAAACACTTCACTTCCTCTTCAGACTCAGATTTGCATGATTAATGTAAATGTTATGCTATCACTAATGTGATAAGCGCTTTCTGAGGAGTGGAAAGCATACAAATTCGAGCAATGGTGATACTTTTTCACTACATTTCCAGTCTAGCCATATAGATGTGTTTATATGCCAATTTATTTTGACAAAAATCAGGTATGAGAATAGTAAAATGCTTCAGACAATTATCTGGGGAACAGTTTGCTTATGACATATTTTTGTTGTACATTTTAATCATTTTCATTGAGTTTGCTTTGCTTAAAAACTCCTGTAATCTTCCCTATAGGCAAACTATTTTTTATTCCAACTGCAGGCTATTCTGATTGATTGATTGATTTGATTGATTTAGATCATGCCTTCCCAACCATATGGCGCTTAATTCTCTAGCTTACCAAACCATTGGGATAGTAGAAAGAAACCCAATTACCATAAAACCGTTCTACTTTGTAGCCCTTTGCAAGAGCAAAGCAATTGAGCGTGTAATGTTAAGTCCCTATTAAAATTATGTTTATTTAGCTATCTTTCAACACATGGGTGGTGTTGAATTTATTTATTTATTTATTATTCAAATTTATATAGCAGCCCATCTCATATGTATGACTTTGAGTGGCTTACAAACAACTAAAATAAATATAAAAAGAACAACCCCCCCCCCCAATACAACAATTAAGAAAACAAGAAGAGAAGAGTACAAAAGTATACTAAAAAAAGTCATTAAAAATTCATAAAATTCATAGCCGTGGTAATCACAGATAACAATAACACTCAGTACAATCCCTGGGCCGGCTCTGCCCCATTCGCTGGTCCCCATGCCTCTTGGCAAAACCATGTTTTCAGGTCTTTCAAAAAGCCAGCAGAGTTGGGGCCAATCTAATCTCTGGGGGGATGATATTCCAAATTAAAGGAAAGATAGTATAGATCGTACAGAATTAAAAGAATACTGCAATATAGAATAACAGTTGAAACATTAGCCAGATAATTAGTCAATAGACTAACCAAACAGCAGTGGTCTCACCATTGTGCTATAGACTCACAAGTAAAACTCACAAGTAAGACTTGTTACGTTGAATGTGACTTTAAAAAAGTGTCCATGCATCCATTGTGAGACTGGCCTTCCTTCCTATGCTTTAATGATTTCTTAGGGGTTTTTTTTTTTAGCTAACCCATAAAATAACCTTTCTTTTTATTTCACAATTATTAAGGAAATTACAACAGACTGGAGCCAAAATGAACCAAATAAAGCTTTTATAAACTGCCTCTACACATTCTAAGTTTATAGCTGAATCTGGAATACTAGTTCTCCCCAAAACTTTGAATTCTTAATTTGGAATTTAATTGGGGAATGGTGGAAGAAATCTTTTCATTCATTCATTCATTCATTCATTCATTCATTCATTCATTCATTCAATTTTACAGAAATTTTTGCCAAAAAACATTTTTCTTAATGCTTTTGTTCATTCTGTGCCCAATAAATTCTGATCTTGAATAGTTGGAGAATAGTTGGTCTTTTGCTTTCCTCAAATCAGTACATTTGCTTTTTCTCTGAAAAATTGTGTTGGCTGTTGCCCTCAAAATTGATATTCCCCCTGTATTTTCCCTTAAGTTAAGCTTCATCCACCATTCCTTTTTTTAAAAAAGACATTTAAAAACTCTGCCATATTTCCTGTTAATGCATTATGAATCCATTGATCTGAAGTGGACTGACAGATGGAAATTTATCCACTCTCAAAAAAGGACTCTGAATTTGCCAAGGTGTTTGAAATAAATATATGTGTATGTTTAAAGAATTGGAACCTTATGTCTCCCATGATACAGTTTTACATTAGGGTCAATTAGCTGATAAAACAATCTCTGGAATTTCTCCAACTATTTTGGTAATACTTGTACAATTCCAATATTCAGAAATCTTTTTTGTTGTGTATTATTTCTGTTTCTGTTGTTGTTTTTTAAAGGAACTTTCTCCATTTTTATTTTCTAGTCATCCATAGAACAGGACACTTTTAGTGGTACATATTCATAATAATATATTCAACTTTTATCAGATGTATCATTGCAATGGGCCTGGACAAAAAGCCTACACCTCCAAAGAAGAAGACTCTTGAGGATACTGCAAAGCAGGAAGATTGGAGGAAAGAGGAAGCGAGATACAAGCTGAGAGAGGAAAAGAAATTCTTATTGTCCCAGTTTCCTTCAGTTCCTGCAGCAAAGAAAGGATTTGCAGAACATGCTGGAGAAATGAAATTGGAGACAAAAAAAAAAGAAAGCGACATTGATGAATTTGAGGATACCCAGAGAAGTGCTGCTCATGAAGGTACAGTGTGAAAAGAGAAAGCAAGTTGGTCAGAATAAGTTGCATGAAGGAAGTTCTAAATCCCTTAAACTGAATTGATTTGAAACAGCCATCCTGAATCTACTGTCCTCCAGATGTGCCAAACTAGAGTTCCCAGAGTTCCCAAGGTGGCTGTTATTATTTCATTCCTATCATCGAATCAATCAATAAAGCCAAAGTAGCTAAGCTGAATCCTGGGTGCAACAGGAACTGAATATTTTCTAGGAGAATAAAACCGGTTTTGTCTAAAAGATGATAGATGGACATGATGAGATTCTCTGCTGCACATAATTTAGGAAGCATTGGCACTTTGTAAAGGAAATGTAACGCTGTACTGTACCAGCTGTTTTGATGGAGTTTCACAAGCAGAAAAGAGAGGGATCAGCATAATCAGATCTATGCTGCTTTAGCCACATTCCACTGATAATAATTTATTTCCTTAAATGGTTCCTCGTGAGATCCCTCCCTTGCTTCTTGGCATTCTGTCATTTGAATATGTGAGGAAAAGAATGAAAGGAATAAAAGCATGGTGGACAATTAAATTGAGGAAGTGAGAAAATGTCACACAGGGCCCCTAGAATGAATCTGATTGATGCAACAGTTTCTCATTAACTTTTTGTTTTATTAAGGAGGGTAGTAAAAAAGAGTTATATTCCATGAATGCATAGGTCTCTTTCAAGTATTAGATTTTGAAGGGTGTGCATTTAAAACTGTTAGGTATTTAAACACCATACTGTATAAGGAGATTTATACCTACCAAAAATACAGGTGATTTTGTTTCCTGCTAATAGATCGTTTGTAGTGTTACGATGGGGTAACACTGTGGGTTTAGAATATATAGTAGTTTTATATTCCAATCACTCTTCATAGATATCATTGTAAAGTAATATGGAGGATAAAGGTTATATTTGAGTTGGCAACATCTTCATTGCACCTTTTATTGGAGTGGCAAAAATAAGTTTTTGACAGAATTACACAATGTACAGTTTCAGTCCACTGTTAACTTTGATGCTGTTGCTTTTTTTAAGAAACGAAGTTGGGTCAAATGCAAAGGAGAACAAAAGCTAATGGACTCAACCCTTTTGGGGTTAATGAGAACCAGTAATAATATGCATTCAATTTCCTATCTCACAATACACATGTCACTTTATTTCAGCATATGATGAAGATTTTGAAGCTGATGAAGAGAAATCAGTTGAGAAAGTTCATAAAGAAGCACGTGCTGGTGATCAAATGAGTGGAACAGGAAGGTCACTCACCGACGATGAAACAGATAATTCAGACCGTGAAAGGAGGAAACAAATCTCATCACAGAAATCTTCACGGGCTTCTGACAGTGAGCGAGATGAAAGTGAGGGATATACAGAGAGCAACACAGAGGAAGAGGAGAGGAAACATGGTTAGTTGTTTTTCTTAAACTGAAGTACAGTGATCTAATATCTTTCTAACATTTCACAGTTTCAGAAGACTCTTCATTTTGAGTATCATGGTTAGCTACCAGTTAGAGCTGGATTTCCACTATGCAGTGAAAGTCCTCTGAATGACTTCCTAGTTTTATATGTTAACCCTTTGCTTTCTGAGAATATTCAGATGGGCCCCAACAACACCAGAAAATCTGGCAGGGCAGGGCAGATTCTCAAGGTGAGGTTTCCCTTTATGGCCATTTCCTTGATGATTTTTCAGCCTGGCTCCGTGTCTATTAAACCAAAGAGAAGTGTATGAAGGGGAATTAAGTTGCCGGTTATAGTGTGAAATATTATAATTTCTGTTCTGAATTGTGTCTGCATTGCATATCTGGACTGTGAATTGTCCTGTCTTGTGTAGAATAGAATAGACTTTATTCTCCTCTGTACAAATCAAGGCTGGTAGAATAGGGGGAACTTTCCTTTCTCATTATCTTCTTTAAAATCTCCCTCATTCATTCCCTCACCCTTGCTATGTGCTACTTCCTCTCTTATTCTTCTATGTACTACTATGAAATCAGAAGCAAATCTTAGGGTTCTTAGGAAGCTCCTGTCAATAGAACTTTGAATAATTTCTATGCCATCTAGAATCTATGCCATTTAGCTAACAAAAGCTCCCTGCAGAAGAGACTGGGAAGGTGGGAATATGGTATATTCTTATAAACTCAAATAGCTTATAACCCATGTTTTGCACTGAAGAAAACCAAGGCCAGTGTAGAGTCGATCACTTTGTTTGCAAAGTCTAGTTGCATGAACGGTAGCCTGTTCTACATATAATCTTTTCTGAGTTGGTGGCATACTTTTTTTCCCACTTCTTTACTACTCTCTTGCAGGTCAGCCAGTAGATGTCACTTTAGCATTGTAAAGTGTCAAGTCCTGTAAGAGTACTCTCCATCTGCCTCTCCCTCTGTCTGTCTGTGTCTCTCTCAGCAGTTGTAGAGGTCTCTCATCCTCTCTCTGTGATCTTGCAGCACAGCACCTTTTGGTCCAATATTTCTACCCACCCTCACTTTGTTCTCACAATGAAATGCTCCCAACCTCAAGGTGAAAAATACACGTTCTTGGGACGGATGGGTTCTAAGCAGCGTACAAAGGCTCAGTGTGGTGAACCCTTGATAATTATTAGCACAGGGAGATTAAAATGCCGCAGAATTTGTTTCAGGAGCATAAATAATATTTTTGGTAACCTCTGTCCTCTCCAGTCAGCATAACTGATGGGGATAATTATTTCCTGTATGTATTCGCAGCCACCCGCTTTCATAAATAATCTAGTGGGAAGCATGTATCTCATTTCCCATTTATTAATACAAAGAGTATGGAAGGGGATCTAAAGCAGCACACGCTTGCAAAATTATGGAAGCTGCCAGCTTTTTGGCTTTCTGTTGATGCAAAGTTGCTTCCTTCCTGTTTCTTTCTGATGTTGCTGTAACTTATGCCACCGTTGCCAGTGAAGCTATACCAAGCTTTCTCTGTTTCCTGCTTGCCCCTCAAATTCTTCCCATTTTGATAGGCCATACATGGGAACACTATTTTTTCAAGCCAAATGTTAATGTTGCCTTTACTTTCATATCTTCTGTGTGAAATATAGGCAAAGGTAAAGCAACTGCCTGGGAAATGGATGCAGCTGCCAGAAAGATCCAGTGTTTTTATAGGAAGCACAAACGGCGACAGCAAACTCAGGCTGTCAAACCAGGTTTGGAGTTGGTTGCATGGGGAAAAAAGCTTTGTTCTGATCAAGACGAGCCCAAATTTTTACACAGTCAGTGACTGTGACAAATAATCAGCTTGCAGCATTGCTAATCATTAATAGGCATAATTACATGTTCTTTTCTTTTTTAAAAAATCTGGCATTTCTTCTCAGGCTCATGGCCACAAGATATCAGGTATAGTTGCATTGTCTCAAAGACATTTTATTAGATTTTATTCAGACCTGGATCACTGATATGATTTAAATTTCAAAAATGATCATATGTGGTGTTTGGGAAAGTAATTAGCAGCTAATTTTTGCTTCCAAATGAATGTGGGTGACTTGCTTGAGATGTGTAGAGCTTTCTCTTCTGGAGGCATTTTTCTGTAGGGCGCCTGCTGTCTGCATGGTATGGATGCTATACGGTGGTGGGTAGGGAGTCTCACTTTGTGGCAGAGGATTGTCCAGACCAGCGATGGCAACCGGAAGGCCAGGGGCCATCCCTTAACAGTCCATTGCCTTTCCTCTTTGGTCCTACTGTCTATGCAACATTTAGACATTTGTTAAAACTCCACCCCCATTTCCTTCAGGTCCCTGGATGGATAGCCATGGCTGAATTCAATTTGTATCTGAAGAAATATACCCTGGTCTTAATCTAAATTTTCTTTTGATTTCTTCTAGCTCCTTGATTTGACATTGTGTAATTTATTTGCTTTGGTAGAATCCTTTGTTGGAACGGAACAATGTCATTTTATTCTACTCCATGGGCATTGCAAAAATAAGGCTTCATTTGCCAAATGATCTACCCAAACCATTAGGAAATGATGAAGAATCTCTGTTACACAAACCTACATGACTAATGTCACCATGTAAACAATCTTCTTCTTTGGAGGTGTTTGTTCTTTTTATAACTGAAAATGTATCATTCATTGTAAAGTGTCTGCCCAGCAATCCAGGAAAGAAAAGAGCAGAGATGCTGATAATTTCAGAATGGAGAGTTGGAAAAAATTGCAGTCTATAATACTTACTTGGAAGTAAGGCCCCCTGAACCCAGGAAGACTCAGCTGAATAAGTATGCAGTGCATGCCAGACTTGTGTGAAATAGCAACATACATTTCTTCTCGCTTCTGCTCTGAAGACAGCCAAAAAATATTCCATTTTCACAGTGTGCGAAGTAAAAGGAAAAAGGGACACACTTGCAAAGTACACAGGGAGAACCATGCATCAACAGGGTGTTTACAAAATATACTCATCACGGCTAATATTTTCTTTGTCCATGTCCTTTATCTAACTTACTACTGAAAACAAAAACATTCAGGAGGTGGCATTCTCTCTATGTTTGAGTTTTCTGCTATTACAAGACTGTCTATCTTTCTTGGAGCTGAAGATGGCATTTGATCTTGGAGTAGTGTGCCAGGAGGCATTTCAACAGCTTAAATAAGTGGACAGGACTTGAACCAAAACAAAATCTGATTTAATTTGAATAATTTGAATTAATTAAGTACTACCCTGAGCTCATACTTTTCCATTTCTGCAAAATTAAAGTTGTAGAGGATTTGAATCAGGCTATTCTATTTGGCAATACATAAAAGTAAATATGAAGTTTCAACATTAGGTGGAATGGCAAATACTTCCTATACTTCAGAATAAAATTATCAATGTTAAGTATATCCTTTACCTTGGGCCAAAAGAAAAAAAGAAGTATAGGGATTCCTAGGTACTAGAGTGAATGTTGTATCATATACGTCTTTGGTCTATGAAGGACACTTAAAGTTTTGTGGAGCGACTCCACCTAAAGAAGCAATGCCTGGAGAACTTTCTTCTCACAACTGTCTTCTGCCATGTACCGCTTCTTTGATTCTTCCCCTACCCTGCTTTAATTGCTTTGGGTTTCTAGGATGCAGAGATTTCCTGCTACTATACTATTTAATTTTGAAAGAGAGCTCTGTTACCATCTCTGCAACGACAGTTTGATCTTATTTGTGAAAAGGATCTTGGAACTGTAGCTGATCACAAAATAAATATGGTCAGGAGGAGCTGGGCAAGCTGTACTAGGGAATGGGTGATGGGCAATTTGGTGTCCTCCTTTTCTGGCCCAGTTTACTTAATCAGTGCCCAGGTGACCAGAACCCTTGTGGTTGTGGCTTGCTGCAAGTAAACACCAGGTCTGTTTGTAATAAGACCATATTTGTCTACAACCTAGATGCAGACTTGGCAGGTATTACCAAGAGCTGGTTGGAAGAGCTTGTTGATATAGCTCTCTCAGAAATTTGTTCCACTTGATTTTGAGACCTGCGTTACCAGAATAGAGGAGATGGGGTAGCACAGATTGTGGTTAGGGGTTGTGCAGTAGAGGTGATTGGCTGTGAATCCCAGTTTGCGATGCTTGATCTTAGGGACAAACAGAGGGTCCTGTTTGGGTAACACCCACCTTGCTGTATAACAGAGTCCTTTCCTGACCTCCTGGAGAGAGCCTGAGTGCTGGGAGTAGAGTAACCTCAGCTTTTGTTATTGGGAAGCAATGTAGACCTCGCCTTGGGAATGGGGAGGAATGAGTGAATTGTTAAGAGGGAATTTTCAGAAAAGATTACTCAATCCTGGGAAAGGGCAAAATGTGAGAAAGAAACTCAAAATAACTCTGACTTTGATTAGGATAAGTTAGGGGAGAGAGAAAGACTGAGAGGCTTTGAAGATTGTTGTCTGCCCTTCAAAGTAGGTAAAGTTAAAAAAAAAAAAGCAGGTATGGTAGGAATTTCAGGACAGCTCTTTATTGCTGTAGGGTAGAATAACAGGATCTTATATCCAGGAGATAGTACTTGCAAAATTGATGACAGCCTTCCCAGGTAGACCAGACAGGAAACATGACCAGATGAGCTAATTCTACTTCATTGTAAGGCTACGTTAACAGAATCTTGCAAATATGAAAGTACAAATCTCCCACCGTCTCTTTTCACAGCCTGATAAGTTAGGGAGGGTCCTTTCTGAGTTTCTTTCTGTGTCCATTATGCAGCTGCGAGCTCCCTTCCCTCTTATCTGATTGTTCCCTAGGCCACATCTCCCCCCCCCCCCCCCCCC